GCCCCGGGAGCGCCGGGAGCCGCGGGCCGGTGCCGCCGCCGCGGGAGCCCCGGGGCGCTGCCCGCTCAATGTCTCCTTTCTCGTTTCCCTTTCCCCGGTGCCAGACGAAGCCACGGACCCGAGCGTGGCCGAGGAGAGCTGGGAATGTGTGCGGCGCTTCTGCGAGCAGGTGAACGCGGACGCCGACGGGTAAGGCGGGCGCCGCGCGGGGCCGGCAGCGCCCGGGATGCGCCGGGCGCCCCACGGGAACCAGCACCTCTGCCCGGCTCCGGCGCGCTCTCACCCGCTCCCGTTGCTCCCCAGCCCGTCGCTTGCCCCGCGGCTGCTGGCACATAAGATCCAGTCGCCCCAGGAGATGGAGGCTCTGCATGCCCTGACCGTAAGTGCCTCCGGCCGCCCGCAAAGGGGGACGGCGTGAGCCGGAGCGGGGCCGCGGCGGGGAGCCCGGGGCTGTCTCCCCTCGTATGGGGAGTATAGAAACTAGGGTATAACGGGAGCAGCTGTTGTTCTTCCTCCCTTTGCAGCCAGAGGATTTTAGTGGCCCGCACAAAGGGCTGGGGGCTCAGAATTGTTGGTGATGGGGAGAAGACTCTCATGCAGAAATGCGTGTTTTGTCAAAGGGAAAATGCATGTTCCTGCTGCACAAAATCCCCAGTATCTCATCTGTGTCTGTGTGGTGCTGCCACAAAGTTCTTAGATGTAATATTGCAATGTGAAAGCTTTCAGAAACCTCCTAAGAGCTGTTCCTGCTGGCTCTGTTTGATACCGGTTTATTTTCTGCAGGTGCTGGAGACCTGTGTGAATAATTGTGGTGAAAGGTTTCACAGTGAAATAGCAAAATTCAGGTTTCTGAATGAGCTGATAAAAGTGCTTTCCCCAAAGGTAGGTAGTTGTGGTTATGCTGGATCTAGCTGGTATGAAATACTCTTTTCTTCAAATGGGATATGAAGACTTTGAGTTATTCTTACCAAGAGTAGAGATGTGCTGGGGAGCACGTGACAATGTTTTGGTGTAAACCTCCCTGTAAATGATACAATCATTGGCTTTTTCYTCCCACTAACGTTAGCAAGGGACAGGTATAGGATAGAGAGGGAACRCAAAAAGCCTTGAATAGTGTCCCCGGCAAGGCGTGGGTGAGCAAGGGGGCTAACAGGCCACAGCTGTTGGGTGACTGAATTAGCAGTGTTGGCTCTTCCTGCTCTCCAGGGATCCCTCCTGTGGAAGCTTTTCCCTTTGGTCCCTGCCAGCCCTGCTGGGACAGGGAGAGGTTCAGGAGGGGCCCGATGCTGCGGCCCGTTCCCCCTGCCCGGGACGTGGCAGAGGTGACGGGGCAGCCCGGGCTCTTCCCCCTTCTCCCCGTCGCAGGGTGAGCGACGCAGCCTCGGAGCACCAGGGCCTGTGTCCTCTCGCCCCTCTCCTCCTCGCAGCGCAGCTGGGACATCTTAAACACCCTGCTAGGCAATTCAGGAATCGATTTTCTCTGAGCATGGCTCATGCTTTCTACCCGGGCTTCGCTTGCCCTTATGTTATGTCGGTTAATGGCAGAGGAGCTGCTTTGGTCTGGCAAAAGTGAAGCCAAACAGGAAAAACTCTGCTCTTGATTCCAGGTTTGGGAAAGGTATTTCGGTGAAATAAGAAAGTCTAAAGAGGGTATTACTGTGGAGAGGTCTGCTTGCTGTTTTGACAGACCAGGTGTTGCTATTTGAGTTTAAAATGACTTCGTGATTTTTATCACACCTATGGGTAATTTTTAAGCTACTAAAGTGAATACTCACAGGCAGTAATGGACTCAGAGAAAATATCCAAACACCAGAAAAGGGCAACTACTTTCTCTTCTAGGGTTGTTCAGTTCAGTTTGTTCATTTGCCTTGGTCTGGCTGAGGCTRTTGGTGCCATTTGCATTATAAACGGTTAAGAGAAAGGTTTAAATTCAAGCACAAAACTATTTTCATAGAAATCACAAGAAAACTCTTCTTGGTTTCAGTTTCAAATAACTGCTCAGGGAAGCTTTGAAACGGTTTCATTTTGATTGCTATGTAGTGTCTGTGTAATCCTCAGCACTTCGAGCATTCTCCTTATGTACATCCACGGCTCTGTGTGCTATTTTATCTATTATAAAATAACACAGTTGATGGCCCTGTGAATAATGTGTTAGGAAGCCATTTGCTGAGTGATCTCTGTGTGCAAGCAACTTGGCCCTAGACCTCTATGTTATATCCGGCATTAGCTGTTTGGTTGTGAACTTTTTTCTTTTAAAACTTTTTCTTTCAGTACCACGGAGCCTGGTCTTCAGAAAAAGTCAAATCAAGAGTCACAGAAATAATATTCAGTTGGACGGTTTGGTTTCCTCAGGAAGTTAAAATCCGGGATGCTTATCAGATGCTGAAGAAACAAGGTTTGCTTCTGTTATTTCGGTTTCCTTGCGAAGCCACGTGCTTTCAGACCGCAGCGCTCGCCCGTGTTTGGTGACTCAGCCTTTGCCCCTATGCGTGAAGAAGGAAGGACAAAGGCCACACATATGAGGTTCCTCGGGTACTTAACGATGCACCTAACTGCTTAAAGAGACTTACTGCAGAGCTGCCTATTCAGTCAAAGATCGGTGTCATCGCGTGGCCTCTGTTCCCGCAGGATCCACCACTGTTGCTCGGGGAAAGATTGCAGGATGAATTCCAAGGCGCTCGGAGGCGGGTGCTCATGAGGGGCTTCTGGACACCCCCACAGAGCGAACCCTACTTGCCCTCATTTTGTTTTCTGCCCTGAAAATCTCATTTGGCTTTTGCCTAATTCACGGAGGAGAGGGACGTCATTGTGCACGCTTTGTGCTAAGGTGGCTCTGCTTCTGCATCTCATTTTGTAAAATTTTGGGGAGAATTGGAAGAGCTAAGTGCAAAATCCATGCTCAGCAGAGCGGTGGTCTCGGGTGTCACTGAACGAGTGTTCCTATCCACAACAGGGATTGTGAAAGAAGATCCTAAATTGCCGGAAGACAAGATTTTACCTCCTCCTTCTCCGAGACTTCGGAACTCCATTTTTGACACAGATGAAGAGAAATCCAAGGTAAACCTTAAGCTGTACATGTCTTGCTGTCTCCCTGCTTGAGAAAACAGTCATRAACTGGCGTTGGGGGCTGTTTCAGATGGCATGTATTCGCTGTGTTCTTGGTAGTGCTAATGCCCCTTGCTATATGAGGGCTAGTTCTTACAAAGGTTTGATGCTTTGCCAGGGGCTTTGCTTAGTCAGAAGTGAAACTTTTTGAGTTCCATTACTCTTCTCTTACAAATGGGGAAAAGTGAAGGATTATGGAGCCTTTCCACAGAGATAATCTATTAGATCCAGGTTTGTTTTTCTCTGAGCCTGACCTGTAGTGTGATCTATTTTGCCCATGCACCATTGACTTCTGTTCTGCTGCCAGCACGTGCAGGAGGCAACAGCAGGATCTTGATTAGGCTGAGCCCACGTATTCCCAGAATTATGRAAGGCGTTGCGGGGCTCTGAGCGCGCTGGTGACCGCTGAGGGTGGGCATGGCAGTGTGGCCGCGTYGCGCTCTAATGCTCTCCGTTCAACAGCTCTTAGCGAGGCTTTTAAAGAGCAACCACTCTGAGGACCTGCAGGCTGCCAACCGCCTCATCAAGAGCATGATTAAGGAGGTAGGCGCCGAGGAGGCGGCGTCTGGGGTGATGGGGAGGTGCTTTACACTTCAGTCCTTTGGCAGTGAGCCCCTCTATATGATCTGCCTAATATATGGCCCCATACTGGTATTAAAGGAGATAGCAGCAAGGAAACCTGGCTCTGAGGTCTGATTGGGAGCAGTTTAAAGGGACCAGATAAGGGGCTATCCTCAGTATTTGTTATTCCAAGGTTGAAGAGCAGGACTTGCTCCCTAAAATACACAGTTGTCTACTCTGGTAATGGAGTTCTTTATAGGGTGAGATTTGAACACCACCTCCCTCCGATGTCTTGTGCCCCCTTGCATCTGCAATGACACGTTAATAAGCAGCAGCCCCCCCACAAGGCTGTTTGAGCACACAGCCAAGCATGTGCACTGCTAGCACTAACCAAAATGTCTGCTTTTATTTTATTTTATTTATTTTATTTTACCAAAGGAACAAGAAAAGTCAGCTAAAGTCTCCAGAAGAGCGAACACAATCAGTGAGGTTTCTGAGAGTGTTAAACTCATGGGTGAATTACTGGACAGCTACAGGAGACAAGAATTATCTCAATCTGACCGTGACACTCTACAGGTGACTGCTCCTTCTTCCTACATAGGAGTCTTTTGGCTGACTCTAACTGGGAGAGCCCAGGGCAACGACACGCAAAGGGTGCCCTCAGCTTGCACGTGGGCAAGAGCATTAGGACGCAGAAATGCTCCCAGGGACCCTGTGAGACTAATGAAGCTGTCTCCTGCTGGGACACTTTGGCTTTCTCTTGCTGAGGTGTTTTTTTCCTGCAGAATCTGTTTGAACGCTGTGAGAAGCTGAGGCCGCTGCTCTTCCGCCTTGCCAGTGAGACAGTTGATGACGATGAGGCATTAGGTAATGTTAAAAATATGGTGCTAAAATTCCCTCCTTTGATTTCTGCTGTTCACTGAAGGAGTATTAAGCCCCACAGAGCTGTGCAGACTTGTGGCAGTGCTGAGCTGGGCTGGCACTCCTCATTCCTGAGTAGCAGCTTCTCCTACCTCACCACTTCGGAATACCCACATCTTCAGAAACCCACGTCCTTCACAGCCACACTCGTCCCTGCTGCTGCAGTTCTCTGCAGTGCCAACCCTTGCTCTTCTGGGCTTGTGCTCTACACTTACTGGGAGGAAAAGCTCTGGAAGGCTGTCGTGTGAGATGAGAGCTGACCCACAAAGTTATTTTGCTTGACTCTAAAGCTAGACTAAATCACTGGATTTCTGACAGAGAGCTGCTGCTATCYTTGGGTGTCTTTGCAGTTCCTCTGTTTTGAGGAATGGTATTTGCTTCCTCTGGGGGTGAGAGTGCTTAGGTAGTGCTGCAGTTGTGCTAAAGTTCCCCCCTTTCACTTCTAAATCATTCCCATGGAAAGCTCCTCCCACCTCTCCCCTACGAAGCTATTCAATAGCACTTGGAGACCAAAGCTAAACAATGAATCCAGTTTCCTCCAGCCAAGGCTGTTTCAGAGTCTGTGAAGTCTGAGCATGCAGAGAGCTGGAGTCTTCTGGAGTGTTTTCCCTAGAGATACTGATGGTTTTGATTTCTGTAGATACGAGACTGAGGAGAGCCACAGGAGCAGAGTATGTGCGTTCCACAGCTGCGCAATCCGGCCCTTCCCAGCCGGYTGCATTTCAGTCCTGTGCATCTGTCTGGAACTTAACTGTAAACCTTGCTGCAGYGATGCCGTGCTGAAAACGCAGATGTCTTGAGCTGCAGCCCCGAGAGCTGAGCTCCTGCTGGGCCCCACACCTCTTGTTCTCACCTGTCCGTGCCAGGGCTCTGCAGATGCAGTGTTGCATGGACTTGAGCAGACCCGTAAACCCTGCATGGGAGAGCAAAGTGCATAAGAGACAGCAGGGACTGCCCGTACTCGGGAGGCTTGGGCAGCTGGGATGGGATGGGGGAAGTGTTTATTTAAGTCTTTGCTTCTTTGCTTTCTTCTTTCCCTCCTGTTCTTCCCTTCCTGTCTTGCAGCTCCGTCCTTTTCTATATCTTAGCCCCTTTCTGTGGGTTTAATTGCTGCCTGGGGTTACTTCATGTCTATTAATCATCCTTGATTTTCAACCTCAGCACAGAAATGTTGCAGCAAAAATGATTTGTAAGGCATGGGTGATGGTCCTGCTGTACTCATCTCTAGTAAGCTTTCTAGTGTAATACTGTGCCGGTTGGGATACCCCAGGCTTTGCTTTGGATGCAGTGTAGCTCACAGGCAGTTTGGAAGGTGCCACGGAGCTGACCCTTGTGCTCAAACACTAACATTTTGTTTCTAATGTGTTTTCCAGCCGAGATACTGCAGGCCAACGACAAGCTCACGCAGGCCCTGGGACAGTACAAGCAGGTCGTGGCCGCGCACGAAGGCAGCGGCGCCGGGGCAGCCGCCAGCCCCGCTGCCGCAGCAGGTAGCGAGTGCTGCTCTACCTCCCGTGTGAACGTTTGGGGCTTGCTGTCTTTCCTCCTGGCATGGAYGATTGCTGGCATAAAAGATGGTTTTGGAACAGATGTTTTTGCAGATTTGTTTTATGTAAGAACAATCTTGTTTATAGYTTTTTCCTTGCTCTCTGTAATTATAATTTTTTTACATACATTGACTGAAAACGTTCCTGGATTTCTTTACCTGTGAGTCCTTTCAAGYGTCCTGAACCTACACGTGCGCTCTTCTTGGCAGGACTAACCTCTTTAACACGYTCTGCTGTTTTCAAGCGTGCCAGACGCCCCCACGACGGATGAAGAGCTACACCCTGATCGACTTCGCGGAGCTGGAGGCCCCATCCGAGTCCTGCACGGACCAGTCTGCAAAGACGAGCCCTGCCTGCCGGCACAGCAGCACGACCTCCACCTGTCTGCTCGAGGAGGACTTAACATCGCTAGGTTTGTGTGTGCAGCTCAGGGAAGTGTTATCTGTGCTACTAATTTTTAATTAAGATAGAAGAACTTTGATTTTAACGTTGTTCCTGAGAGGAGAAAGAAGGTTTTAGCTAAGGTTAGCTGTAAGTTGCCAGGAATCTAATTTCTTTAATAGTGGTGCACTGCAGTCTAACTGCTATTAGTCGCCATAGGAAGAACATGGTTGATGGAAAACCGCTGCTTCCTGTAATTGGCCTGTGCTTTCCATATTTTTCTTAGATTTCAACAACTCTCCTGTTGTAGAAAAATCACCATATGATTTGGGCTTAGCAGAGGTAAGTGATCCTTATATACTTTAGTCCCTGTGGTACAAAGGACAAAAATTAGATGGGTTCATCTCCTAGCTCTCACCATCTGCCTTGTTTTGTGCTAGAATTCTTCTGCCCAGAAGCAGACAGAAATTGACTGAGCAGTGAACAGTCAAATTCTGCTGCATTTTGCTACTAAATTAGTCATGTTTATTCCTGCTTTAAGTTCTGTTTACAAAGAAGGTTCTTCTCAGTGGGGCAGACTTTTGCTGCTGTTGCACAGCCTGAACTAGAAGTGCTTTGCTTTCCAGGCTGCTGTACACAATGGATACGGTGAGGCTGTAAGTGCTGTGCAAACACCGGGGCTGAAGGAGAGCCAGGAGGACAACTGCTTCGAGAAGAATGTGTTTTGGGACCCGTGTAAGCAGCTGTCTCCACCTTCCAGGATGAAGACATTATCCTTGTAAGCAGATTCYGCTCTGGAGGCCAGGAATACTCCTGTACAGCAGTGAGGTTTAGGAATATCTTTAAAATAGTACTGGTTAATGAAGGCAAGCCATCCACAGACACATCAGCTCTTAACCTGCAGTTATGCACCTGGTAATTCTGACTGCACAACTGCACACAAAGACCTCCCAGGGGTCAGAAATCTTGGGGAGCAGTTTCTGTGCGTTAGTAATGAGGTGTTCTTGAACTAAAGGAATAAAACCTTTACAGTCAGGTCTTTTATAATAATTTGTGACTCAAAAACAAAACAAACAAAACCCCTATGACTTTGACCAGCTTTCTTCAGCCTTTGACAAAATAATTTCCAAGGCATTCAGTTCATAGGGGATGACCCAAAYTAGTCATCCACAGAGCTTCGGAACAGGTGACTATTATCCAGTGTCCTGTCATAATACAGGCCAAGAAATGTTACTGGGGTTTCCTAGTCTCCTGCTTTGTCCTTAAGCTGTATTTGAATCTCACTGACTAGTGCCCCAGAGCAGCTGCATGGGACGAGAATAGACTTCTAAAGCCCTGGAAACCAAAGTCCATCTTAATGCTGCAACGGGAGCTTCCATGTACAATTGGGGCCATTTTCAAATTTTGCAAGAACACATGGAGTTTAAGCTTGTACTTCCTACCTAAAAGGGATGAGGATTAGGAATGCGAGATGGACCCAGCGAGGATGATATATACCACATGGTCTCCCAGGCATTATAAGCTTTCTGCATGCTTTTCTTTCCAGGGATTTATCACCAAAGAAACTGCCCTTTCCAGACCTTCCAAATAGCTCAGTGGCAGAAACTCCATTCTCCAGCCTAGGCTACGAGCTGAAGCCTCCTGCCTCTCTGCATCCAGCCTCTCATGATGCTTCTCTAGCAAATGTTTTTGTCCCTTTAATTTCAATTACACCAAGTAAGTGCAATGTTTTCTGTGCCCCAGCTCTGCTTTATAGAGCTCTTCTCTTGCAGGAGAGTAAGCCAAGAAAGCTCCATGCTGTGAGGGGTTCAGCCAGACAAAAATAGTGACTATTCTGTGAAGTGATTGTCGCATCTGGGAATTTCAGCAGGTGCTAGGAATCAAGCTGTGGAAACATCCCTGCTCAGTAGTGGGCAGTTTCCTGCCCCGGCTAAGGTTTGCAGTGGGTGTTTGTACTGTTTGACTGTGGCACTTCTACTGAAGTTTGAAGCAGCCCTTCTTTAGGCTCTTAAAAGATATCTCTGAATGTGAGTTGTCTCCCTTGCTTTTTCCTTGCTGCTTTTTCCATCTCCGCATTTTAATTTAACACTCTGTGGCCCAGCCCTGTGTCCACCTGCAGAGTCCCACCCTGGGCATGGCACGTGGCACCACAGTGTCTCATGGCAGGGTATGTCCTGCTCAAGGAGGCCTGCAAAGCCTTGGTCGTTCTTCTTTTTGGAAGAGAAGGATGGGTGCAAAGGCAGTCTGAGTGTTCCCTTCCTGCTGTTCCTCTATCCTCTGTCCATTGTTCTCCCTCGGAAGAGAGGGGCAGTTCCAGGCTTTGAGCCTCACCCTGTTTTGTCTCTGGCAGGCAGCATCTCTCCTCTTACTGTGTATGACCAGCATGGTTTCAAGGCCATGCTGCACTTCTCCAGAGACCCAGCTCCTGGCCGGCCAGATGTGCTAGTGATGGTTCTTTCCATGCTCAGCACGTCCGCCCAACCAATCAAGAACATCGAGTTCCAGGCTGCTGTCCCAAAGGTGAGAAGCCYGAGGCGAGCAGAATAGTGGGACTGCTCAGAAATGTCCTGAGAAGCAGGTTTGCTCTTTCTTTTTAACATTAGCTTTGTTTATTGGAAATTGCATGGCTCTTTTCCTCTGAACTGTGCACCCGTTGTATGCTGGTGCTTGTGGCCACAGTGCCAGTTTCAGAATATATCCCAGGCCTTGAGAGGAGAGAAGCAAKCAGGGCTGCAGGCCCAGTGCTTTGACCTGCTGGAAAAGCCTTTGCGTGGGCACATGCAACYGTCTGCTGAGGAACGGCTGCCTTTAGATGTAGGCCATGAAAAGGGATGTGCTTCATGAAACCTTTTTCACAGCTGGTTAAAGGGACCATTGAGGCAACTCCATGTGACCATTTGTCTTAACCTTGTAGCAGGAACCAAATGTAGGAGCAGGGCTTCTCTGGAATCCTTATGCTTTTTGGACAAAATGATAGTGTTTTTTTGTTCTCATCCGTGCATGAAGGTCTCCAGCTCTTTTTTAGTGTGGACCAAAATGTCTTGCCTTTGTTTTCTCTTCCAGACCATGAAAATAAAGCTGCAACCAGCGTCCGGCTCTGAGCTTCCCGCCTTCAGCCCGCTCCTTCCGCCGGCAGTGCTGTCCCAGGTCCTGCTGCTAGCCAACCCGCACAAGGTGGGTGTCGGTGCTAGCGCCGTGGGGCAGCGTGAGYGTGACGAAGGGCTGGGGGCTCGTCTGAAACATGGGGAAATTGTGATCTGTGTGCAGGGGCTTGGGCCGTGATGACCCCGGCCCTGCCCGCGCAGAGCTGCTGCCTGGCTAGAGTGTGGAGCCCCTTTTCTGAGGGTGACACTGCAGCGAAGCTGAAGGAGGAGCGGGAAAGAGCCGGGAATCCTCAGCATGACCAGCCTCTCTTTCTGTTTCTCATAGGATCCCATCCGACTAAGATACAAATTAATGTTCGTGCAAGGTGTGCAGCCCTTCAGTGAGGTGGGAGAGGTGACCGGCTTCCCAGAAGCTGAGCTCTGGAGCAGCAGCTGAACGTCCTGAGCCTTGGACATTGCCGTGTTGCCTTATCCGTGGGCAGGGAGTGTGGCCGGGAGGGCTGGCCTGGGCTCAGCAATGGCTCCTTTCCTTGGCGTCTGCTGTCTTCTCCTTGCCCTGGGTTTCCTTGCACGTGTCTGGCTGGGGGCTGTGAAGTGGCCGCTTCTGCCTTGCTCTTTCTGTAGAGCTGCCCCTGCTTTACAGGCCGTTGTGTCCTGTAGAGCCCTGACGTGTGGGAGCCGGGTTGCTTCTATCATGCAGTGTTTCCTTCCATGTTTTTCCTGCTGCTTTCTGGGCCCATCTTCCCTCTCTTGCTTTACATCTTGTCCTGAGTGAAAAAGACCATCATATGTCAGCCCTTCTGGCAGGCTGCTTGGTACCAGGAAAGGTTTCATGCCGGGCACCTCACCCCTGTTTTCCCTGGGGTCTGTATGCTTTGTGTGGATGGCAGCGTAAGGAAGGGTGAGAGGCGCTGTGCGGCCCTCAGGCCGATACGGTTTAGGTGGCCAGGTACAAAAYGGGGAGAGCAAATAAAGGGAAGGTTTTCAGGCCACTATGCGGCCGAGCGCTGCCAGCCTGAGTCACTAGGAGCTTGCCCAAAGCTGCTCTTGCCGCGGCTTCTTGCCTGGGGCTTCCTCAGCTCCCAACGTGTCCCTGGGGCAGCCAGGAGCTTTCTCCTTCCATGGCCATCCTCTCTGTGCGAGCTGAGCGGGGTTCCTGACTGCATAAAACCAACTTGTTCTGAGACCTGATTTGTGATGGTGTTTTTTTGTCCAAAGTCCCCTGAGTTGGTGCAAGGGGGAAGGTTACGGGTTTTGCTGTCTGGATAAGGTGACTGTGTTGGGAGCGGAGCTGCCCCGTTCTCCGCACGGAGGGAACAAAGCGGCGCCGTTCGGTCGGTGCGGGCGGGCCGAGCTCCGCGGGGTGCGGGCGGCTCCGGCCCCGCTCCACAGGAGCCCCCCCCCCCCCGCGCCGCTCGGGCCGAGTCCTCCCAGGCCGCGAGCTCCGCGCTGCCTAGCAACGCCCCGCCCCGCGGACGGTGGCCGCCGCGCGCCACGTCCCTTCCGCGCAGCCGGGGACGGTGGCCGGCAGGGGCCAAGCGGCGGCGTTTCCCGGTGGCGGCGGCGGGAGCGCGGCTCGCCATGGATTTCTCCCGGTTCCTGGCCGACGACTTCGAGGTGAAGAGCTGGGTGAACGGCGCCTTCCGCGCCGTGCAGCAGGAGGCGCCGGGCAAGGTGGACGCGCACGCAGCCACGCTCGTGATGAAGCTGCAGCTCTTCATCCAGGAGGTCAACAACGCCGTGGAAGGTGCGGCGGGGCGGGCGGGCCGCGGCGCGCGGGAGCTGCGGGCCCGSGGCGCCGGGCTCAGGGCGCCGCGCTGTGTTCGCGCAGAGACRAGCCGGCAGGCCCTGCAGAACATGCCGCGGGTGCTGCGCGACGTGGAGGCCCTGAGGCAGGAGGCCGCCTTCCTCAGGGAGCAGATGGTCCTGGTCAAGGAGGACATCAGGAGGTTCGAGGAGGACACGGCGCAGTCCATGCAGGTAGGGCGGCCCTCGTCCCGCCGCTCGCCTGGCCCTGCGTTTCCTTACCAACAGCTGATTACGCTCAATTCGTGATGCTCTTGTTATGTACGCTGGGTGTGTTCTCGTTAGCATAGGGGCGCATGATGCTTTTGGGGCAAAGTYAGCACTGTCAAAGTCTTGCTGCTTGACTTGGAAGTTGATTTAACATCTCTYGTGCTTTCAGCCAGCTTCTCCTTGTAACCAGCCTTTTCCACACATTTAATAAAATCCCAGCCTAGAAATAACTCTCTTAATGTAAGCATCTGTAAGTCGTCTCTTTTTTTTGTTGTTGTTGTTGTTTCAGTGGGTAATAATTCTTTCTCTTGTGCCAGGTTCTTGTAGAGATTGATCGGGTGAAATCTAGAATGCAGCTGGCTGCTGAATCGCTCCAGGAAGCAGACAAATGGAGCACGTTAAGTGCAGACATTGAAGAGACACTGAAAACACAGGTGGGTACCACGTTGGTCTTGATTTTTGGCTCTTTGCTTTTTTTAAAGAAACTGCATTTAAAGTAGGTTCTTCGAGTCACTTTGAAAGGTGTTTCTGTTTGTAAAAAGTCCTTGTGGAGCATAAGTAGTCATGCTTCCTAGGATTACACTGAATAACCTTGTTGGCTTTTTCCTGGTGGCAGGACGTATCTGTGATTTCTGCCAAGCTCACRAGCATGCAGAGCAGTCTGGCCATGCTCGTGGACACACCGGATTACTCTGAGAAGTGCGTGCACCTCGAGGCTCTGAAGAACCGGCTCGAAGCCATGGCCAGCCCTCAGATTGTTGCTGCGTTTAATGCTCAGTCTGTAGGTCAGTACGGCTTGCTCTTATCTCCTGTCAGTGCAAAGTTTGTCTGATGTGAGAGGTAAAATGTTGTTTGGGTGAGGAGTGTATCCCAGGAGGCTCCTGGAATGGGGTTGTGTGTTCTCCCTGGTGGAGCTGGATGCCATGAAATGTTAAGTGCTCTGCAGCTGCCTGGGGGGTAGTTTGATTTCCTACCTCTTGCACCTGCGGCCACAAAGGGCAACAAGGAAAACACGAGCGGACTCTGTAGGCTGCATAGGTTGTGTAGATGTGTGAAACAGAGGTTCTGAGACAGGGCTGTCCTGCTCTTACAGTTCAGTTGTGTTGTGACACCCTCAAAATGGGACACACTACCCGAGTAGGCAGAAGATCCCTGGTTTTGCATTGACATGGTGCTGCTGGGCATGTCTCTTACAGCTTGGTTTTGTTGTGGGGTGGAATATTGTTAGGAAAGGCTCTGTCTCCACGCTGTCCTGAAAAAGTTGTTTTATACTCTCCCTTCTTTAGAAGATCACTTGGTATTTTTGATCTGTTCTGTGTGCTTTTACTTTCCTGCTGTCCCAATGTTCCTGGAAAACACTTGCTCTCTTTGCTTCTCGTCTGTGTGCTCCTGGAGATCCCGTTGCAGATCCGCAGTGCTGTACTGCTATTGCTTCACGGCCAAGTAGGGGCGAGTTACAGCAGCGGTGGCTGCAGAYGGCTGGAGGGAGAGGAGTGCTTTCCTTGAGTCCTTAATCCCCTGCACAGCTCTTCCTCCTCTCTCTCCCACTCGTCGTCTTTGGCTCTCCGTTGCACACAGAAGGAGAGACTTAGACTTTCCTTAGACTATGCTCATAGACCTTCACAGTTGTTCACACGCACAAGACAAAGGATGATGCTTTGGAATATTAAAGTAATCCTCAAGTAATACGATTTTCCTATATTCTGTGAGTTGTCCAGCAAATAAACCCATATTGGCAGAGAAATATGTGTCAGCACACTGGGAGCCGGTGAGCTGACACGTGGTCCTTTTCCTGGGCGGACTCTTCGGAATAGTTCACTTTGAGCTTTGTTCATATTCACTAGTTAAAATCTGGGCACGTGGGAACATGTTTTTGTTTGTTTGTTTTCTCCCTAAATACTATTTTTCTTGTTCTTGTGAAGTCATGCTTTTCCCTTGTGTCCCATTTCCTACAAACTCAATTACAAGCTCTGCATTCTCTGACTTCCACAGCTTTAGAGCATCTAATTTACTTACGATGTTCAAGTTTCATGGTCTCCCTCCAGGTCCTGTTAGAAAAATAAGGTATATTGCTAGTTTATCTGAACTCAGATTTATTTTGTGAATAGAATTATATTCATTGTAGTACAAATCAGAGTTTTGAGGACTCTGGTTTTAGAGGCTGTGGATAAGAGTGACTGCACTGTTAGGCAATTGAGGCCACTAGTTTTAGTATAAGTTAACATTGAGTGGTGGAAACTGATGAGGCCTTCATGAGGAATGTGTTTTGGTTTTGCAAATAGTGCTTGTTTCTGGAAATTAATSATTTCCTTCTGTGAAATGCCCCGCTTTTATCTATCTTAGCTGAGAAAGATTTACTGGTGAAAAGTTAAACTCATTTACTGTAAATCTGATGCGTGATCTCATTTGAGTGTTATCTTTAGGCAGTTCTGCTCTTAAACAAAAGGCAAGTGAACAGAAGATGACAGTTCTGTCTTTCTSTATGGGCAATGGCACATATCCCCTTAACAGAGGAATTGTTTTACTCGGTTTGGGGTGTATTCTCTCACCTTGCACTTCGGGCCTGACCTTTTAATTATCTATTATTTATTTTATTTAGATCAGGCAAAAATGTTTGTTAAAGTCTTCACTGAAATTGATCGGATGCCTCAGCTTCTTGCTTATTATTATAAGTGTCACAAGGTAATTTTTTTTCCTTGATAATATTTTAATGCGGAGAAATGGAGGGGGGGAAAATCTTGCTTGGCCCAGACTGTAGGGGGTGCTGCTACATCGAGGATGCTCTCTTTCCTATTCGGGAAAGGATGGAGCCTGTTCTGTTTCGTACCTCATTCTCTAACTTCTCTTTCTGGCTCCTCACAGCTTTGACTACTCCCCGTGGTTTTTAAAGTAATTCTCCTCTGAGGGTTTTATGTCCCCCTTTAAAGTCATTGTAGAATATGTGCATTTTCCCTGTGCATTATAGTAGTTGTTTCTCTTTTCTTGGATTTGGCTATGTCAGTAATAACTTTATTGCTGCAACTTGCCAGCTGCTGGCCTYTGTAAACTCTTTTCAGGTAAGATTAAAGGTTGGAATTCCAGACAGTTCAGTAGTCATAACCTGATCCTCAAAAGTTCTCTCATGACTGCGACTTTTGAGGATTAAGTTCAAGGCTCGGGCTTGCCAAGTATTTCAACTATTATATGAGGGTATCAATTACAATCTCATTTTATGAGTGAAATACCAATGTTAATTAAATCTTTGGATCAACTAAGAAGTCTCTAGCTTGATGCCGAAAGTCATTTCCTTCTGAGGTGCTGAATTATAGCAGAGAGTTATGCAGAAATCTGGATAGGGGAGTGAGGATGGGCATTGTGTTTCAGCAAAAGTGATTTGCACGAGAAGTTCCTGGTTCAGAATAACAAAACCTAGATCTGTGACCTGTTAGTTCTGCTCTCAGAGTGGTTCTTATTACCCCTGCAGGTGCAGCTGGTGGCCRTGTGGCAGGATCTTTGTCAAAGTGACTTCAGCTTAAATCGCCAGCTGACTGAGCTGTATGACACGCTGCTTGGGACCTGGCACTCGCAGCTCCAGTGGGCAACACAGGTGCAGTCACTGCTTAATTTTGGTGTAGGGTTCAGGAGAGAACAAGACTTGGGTAAAGTTCAGAATAATTCACCAATGTTCAGTTATACCCTGTCAATAAAGGACAGGGCTTGCAAACTGCATTCAGGTTCTGGTCGTACTCTTGCAGACAAGACCCTGTAACAAGGGTGCTATGTTACTGCCATTAAAGCTGCTCTATCACGTTCATCTGTATCTTAAATCTAATTTGTTGTTGTGGCAAATGTGTTCTGTTGCAAAACATTTGAAATGCCTGAATTACTTTATCACTTGTCCTGGAGGAAGCCCTCAAGGTCATGATAGACTGGTTTGAGTCACTCTGTAAGATGTTTGAGGGGTTCTGCTCACACTCTTGGAATATATATGTACCTTTTTTTTTCTTGTCAATAGTAATGTAGGATGCAAGAAAGTTATTGTCTTGCTTTAGTGAAACAGAGAAATTGGTTCATTTTGTCAAGCCTGCAAGAGCCTTCGACCATGAAGGGTGAGAGAGATGCTTATCTTCCTGTTAAGAAGCCTGGTGTGAGTGCTAGACCCATCGTGCAAGCGGGCTCAATGCCTCCTTGAAATGTAATTTTTCTGCTTAATGATACGATGTGAATTACAGGTCAGATGTCGGCTAACATTTTAGGGTGACATGAGYTTTGTCTGCTATCTTCTGTGTTGCTTCTGCTTTCTGAAGAACTGTGTGACACTATCTTTTCCATTCTAGCTTGTATGAGGGGCCTTTTTGCTGCAGGAGACTAGCAGTGCTCAGCTTTTACAGGGATAAGCGAGAGCAGCACTGAAAGAACAGCTGAMGAAGCAGTTGTGGTAAAGGGCCATAAAATGTGCTTGAAGAATCGAGGGTGATGTGGGTAAATAAAAGTTCCAAGCTGATTGCAGTCTTTCTAGCCTGCCTTCCTGTGCTCGCTGCTGCCTGGCTGCCCAGTAATTTRGCTCGTGCTGCTGTGCTGTTTCTTCATAGGCGCACCCATAGGAGCGCTTTTTACGATGTCTCTTGAAGGGAGTGCTGTGTTTTCCAGTGCCCCCTCTGCCGGGTGGTGCTTTCRGCAGTTGCAGTGCCCGCGTTCTGCCGCGTTCAGCCTGTGACCTGTTTGTTTCTCAGCTGCTGTGTGTGCAGCGTGGTTTCAGTGGTGAAATAGCTATTGTCCTAAGCTTTCGTAATCAGGCTCTGCTCTGTGCTGGGGCAGTGAGGCTCCTGCAGCCATAGGAGCCCTTCTCTTCTGGTTTGTTACCCTTTGTGAAGTTTTYCAGATTTGTTTTGTTCCCTTTTGGTTGGGATTGTGCATCACCTGAAGGAGCTGCCACTGTACAGCATGTCATGTCCTTCCTATCTCAGTGTCCTCAGTAGAGAGAGAATTTATGGTAACTCTTTGAATTGTCAAAGGCGTGTCAGCTAAGCCCAGTTTTGGTGGATGCTGTAACATTTACTGCATTTCTGCAAGGTTTTGGAAGTTCTTGGATAATTTCTAGTAGCRAAGGCCTAGTACCATTAGGTGCTCTGTGCCGCCCGTTGCCAGCAGCCCAGTTCTCTGTGCGGGGCACGAGGAAGCCCTCACGGGGCTGCCGCTGCCCTCTGCCCAGCTCTTTCCTCGCAGCTGCTGCTGCTCTGCTGCCCGTTGCCAGACCCGTCTGCCTGCGGGCTCCCCAGTCTCTGTGGCGGGGGCGTGAGGGGATTTCCGAGCGCGGGTTCCCTGGGAGGTGCTGCCCGTGTGGAGGTTGCCCTGGGGCAGTGGTGCCCATTCCGCGCGCTGCAGAACGCAGCAGCCCCTTGACTAAGACAACCTGCGTGGTTTGCTTTGCCTTTGCTCAGACAGTGACCTCCAGGATGTCTTTTGTGGGAATCCACTTGGCTGGTGCTTCCGTTCTGCCTCGGAGGAATTCAGTGCTTTTTGCTAATAGCCTTTCTCTTCCTCTAGGTTTTCAAGAACCCCCATGAGGTGGTGACTGTGCTGCTGATTCAAACTCTGGCAGCCTTGGTGCCCTCCATCCCGGTGTGCCTCAGCACTGCCATGGAGCGAGTAGGCCAAGAAACCAAGCTGAACAAACTGCTGGAGCTCTACGATGCCACCGTCCACTTCGCAAAGGGGCTGGAAATAGCAATGCTGCCAAACCTGAGTAGGGCTCTGGCGCTGGATGTTTTCGTGCTACTGTTTTGTCAACACCTTTATAAAGTTCCATTGTGCATTTTGTTTTGTTTTTACATGGAAGGGTGTTTATTTCTTTTATAGTATTTACCAGTTGTGGTAAATACCAGTTATGTAGCATTTGTGCCTTTGTGTGTGTGTATATGTATATATCTTTCACTGAATATATTGACACAATACTGAGTGAGTTTACTGAAGCAGAGCTGTTCTAGCCTGCTTGCTGCCTTGGGTAAATAATATTTAGCACTTTTCCTTTTACTAGCTTTAATAGATCTTCTGCCTAGCGGATGAGGAAATGTCTCTAGGGAAGCTATCTGTTAAACCTGTTGTGAAAGATCACAAAGAATAAAAGTTCAGGAGTTCCCTGGAATTAAAGCCACACCTTTCCATATGACAGAAAGCTTGCATGAGAGCTACTTCCACTAGACTTCTAGATTTTACCTGATTTTTTTCCTGTTGGTCTTTGATTATGCTTTAATCAAAGGAAAATGCAGGGCCAAACGTGGCTTCTGATCGGTGTAGCTCATTCTCAGCTGCTTGGTTCAAACCTAACCTGCGCTTTCCTTGCCCAGCAGTGTTTGTCTTCTCGTTTTGGTCACGGCTTGATGAATGATTCCCGCAAACCGCAAAGCAGTGAGGCGCCCTGTTTACCTACTTTTATGCCTAATGTAAACTATTGGCTATTTATAGTGTTCTACTAATTTGATTATGCTCCTTCAGAGACAAGGTATAGAAAAATCCTCAATTAAAGCTGATGGAGCATTTCTAATGCTTTGTTTCCTATATTTGGTTCTTTGTAACATGATCTTGAGCTGTTTAAACCCAAATTCTTGCTTAATTATGTAAATTATGATTGCTGGGCAATTCTGTTTGTCTTTTTTGTTTTCTTTGTGATTGACTGCACTTTTGGCATTCATTTTCTAACCTTGGCTTGGCTTAATTTTTGGCAGGTAATAAAAATGATTTAAAAGAACTTGGAAAAGATAATGTCAGATTCTAGACAATGATGGAATAGGAAAACAGGCACTGACTTGTTAACTAGGTTAAGAAAAAAGATTATGTTCTTTATGTCTCTTTTGCTGTGAGGTGAGATGTTTGGGATCAGAAGTATCTCAAGAATGGAAGAGCCAGGTGATTCAGAAGTGCAGGGTCAAACTAGTTCTTAGGTGTTTATGTGGAGGAGGGTTCAGTTATGAATCATGGGATAATTTAGGTTGGAAGGGACCTCGGAAGATCACATAGACCAACCTTCTGCTAAAAGCAGTGTCCGCTCTGAGGTCAGGCCAGGTTGCACAGGGTTTTGTCCAGTCTGGTCATGAAGACCTCTGAGCACGGGGCTTGCACCATCTCAGGACAGCCTGTTCCTACTCCACTGTTTGGCTGTGCTCATGGTGCAAAAGTTTTTCCTTGTATCCAGGATTTGAAGTAGTTCTGGTTTGGTGCTAGTTAAGAGTTTGGCAAAGCCTCATGGTAACACCTGATGTCCAGGTTTGGTTTGATAAATTATGGTTCAATTAAATTTTTAATATGGGTTTGCTGCAGCTTCTGGCTCAACAGAATGGCAGTGAGATGTTAAGTTCATCATTTGCATTCAGCTCTGGCTGGTGAACCCTGTGAATGAGTAGTCCTAAGGGAAATGAGTTGGTACCAGTTATTTTAAGTGTGGACCAGGCTCTTTGCTAAAGGAGACTTGCCCCTGTTGTAGGTTGATGGTTAGATATTTCTTGGATGGTTTCCATATTTTCTCTCTAATGTAGTTTATAGACCATCTTGGAAATAACTATTATTATTATTAGTGGAAATAATAGCCTTATTTATTTAAATACATGTGCAGTTGGGACTTAAAGCAATGCAAGTTTATGTCAGTATCATGCTCTAACTGAAGAAGTCTTGTGTGCTGTTTAAAACAAGATTTTTAGTAGCAAATTATTTTAAACTAACCATCTGATTACTTGCAGAGGAGCAGAACCTGGTGAAGGTGACGGAGCTGGTGGAAGCAGTGTATGGGCCATATAAGCCCTACCAACTCGAGTACGGCGAGCTGGAAGAGGAGAACCTGCTCATTGGGATCAGCGCTGTGCCCCTGGTGCGCAGCTCTCTGCGGGGCCTGTGGAGGGAGGACGCGGTGGGACAAGGCTGAAGCTGCTGCCAAGTACAAGGCTCTTTGTCACAGCTGTTGCTCATTTCTCCTTTAATTATTTGGTRGTATTTCTTGTTTATAGTGTCTTGATACTGGAGTCTTAACTGAATTTTGCTTCAGAAATGGTTAATTTCAGCAGTGTTGTCAGTTCGCAGGTAACCCCTTTATCCAGTAACCAGCACTCAGAGCACCTGCTGGAAAAAAAGACCTTACCAGAATATTATTGTCAGCTAAAAGACTGCCTCAAGTTCCTTATTTTTATTTATTTACGTATTTATTTTAAGAACAAGGTGGGAGGAACGTTCGTTTGTGTGGAAGATTCTGGTGTGGGAATAAGGCTGTTTTTACTTGAAGGTCTGCTAAATGCAGGATTAGGCAGCCTGACTTAGTTAGGATCATGATGTAGGAGGACAGAAACAACCAGAACTGTTCTCTCTCAAGTGCTTCACAGGATTGCACAATGCCAGGAGGAAGATGTGATACACACAGTGTCTTTTTTTTTTTTTTTTTTCTCCTGTTATTTAGGAGCACTGGGAAGTAATTGACTGTGTCCAGGAACTAAACCATTCGGTGAACAAACTCTTCATTCTGGCTTCTGGAGCCATCGACAACTGCATCAAACTTACTGATGGACTCGGAGTGTGTGGGCTTCTCAAGGCCCTGAGAGCTCTGTTCACAAAGTAAGGTGCCGTTAGTGCCACTGCTGCCTTCATCCTAAGGGGGTGGCAAGCGTTCACGTAGCAACCAAGGACTGTAGTTCATGAAACATGGCCGAGTGCTGAGTGCCTATAACCACTATATGAATCATCTGATACCCAGCTCTAAGCCTAATGTCATTAGAGACTATATCTTAATGCAAAAAGACAAAGTTTTTGGTGGCTAGAGGGAAGACTCAGCTGCTTTGTTTCGGTTGAGCTGATTTTCCATTCATAGGAAATATTTTTTGGGGGGGGAAAAGTGTTTGCAAGAACCTAATACAACACAGGCAAACTAGTGTGCTGAAAGTAGAACTTCTTGGGGAAATGTATATTTACTGGGGCAAGTGATTTCCATAGTCAGAATCTGCCTGAAGTGCAAGATGCCCTAGTGAGTAAGTTCTTAAAATAATTTCCACCCTGCTTAGATAGTATTCTGGTACTCATTACCTTCATGTTCTTTCCTGATTTCAAAAGAGCTGATCACAAGGTATAAACCGAGCTGTTACCTTGTTGCCCTGTGGGGATAGGGGAAGAGGAAGCACACTTCTGATCTCAGCTTCTTTATAGGTAATTACATAGCAGGGTTCGTGCCTTTAGCTTATGGGCATTATGTTTAAAAAAAAAAAAAAAMACATGAGGAACAAAATGTTCCTTTTTATACATGTTCTCTCCTGGGGAGTAGTTGAGAAAATAAACTTGCAAGAGGTTGTGGTCAAGGGCCGGCTGATGGTGGAGCAGCACTAGCCTTATAAACTTTGCCTGATCTCTCCTAGGAGACGTGATGAGTGTAGTGATAACAAAAATGACTTACTCATTCCTCATCACAGGAGAGCAGGGTTCCTAGTCACCCACATGCAGCAAATTGAAGTGGCCACGCTCCAACTAGTACTTCTAGTGTAGGCTGGAGGGGGTTGTGGCTGGTCAGTCCCTCACGTGCATTTTATTATACTGGAAAAACTAGTTCTTTTCTGAACTATTCTTCTTCTAATGTCTCTGGTTCTTATTTGTCCCTTGTTGAGAACTGCACGAGGAGGTTGCTGGAAATGTCGTTGCGTTGCTTTTCATACTATAGTTTTACTCCAGTGTCTATTTTTACTCCTTTTATCCATATAGGTATACATCTGACTTTACAAATGCTTTGCAGTCTATACGAAAAAAATGTAAACTGGATGATATCCCATCAGATGCACTTTTCCAGGAGGACTGGACTGCTTTCCAAAACTCTATCCGGTAAATTGGTATTTTTGCCTGGTTCAGAACTTATTTTTATAGAAAAGTTGGAAGAGAATTACCTGGGGTCAGTTTGCATGGGTTATGCCGCTTTAGCCCCAGAGCTGCTGAGAGTGTTGGTTGTAGTGACTGGGTTTCAGGCTCCTATGAGCACAGTAAGTGTTATGGGACCCACCCCTTCTCTGGAGCAAGACTGCATGTCACAGCACTTGAAACATCAGCAACTCTTGGAATAATTCCCAGTGACAGGCTGTCACGCAAAAAAGGGACATCAGGATGTAATGAAATGGATGCAAAGTTTAAAAAACGACAAACTAAAAAAAAATTTCTCCCCAGGGGGATATTGGTGGTGGTGACGACTTACGCTTTTTTAAAAATTTTTTTTAATCTTCTGAAACCTGTCTGAAATAGGTAATTCTAGGTGTGTGACATTATCTGCCTCAAATGTTACAACATACATTTTGTCGTATTCTTTCCCAGAATAATTACCACTTGCGGTGAGCTGCTTCGTCAATGTGGAGACTTTGAGCAGCAGCTTGCCAACAGGTGAGTGTGGCTGAGCTTGCTGCAGCAGCTCTCAGCGCTGGTGTCAGCTGCAAAGGAAACAAACCCCCCAAGGTGTGTGTAGTGTGTGGAGCACTGAGAGAGCACGAGGCCGCAGTGCTCTAACGTTTGCACAGAAAGAGTAGTGTGATTTAAAGCATGCAGCCTCCCACTCTAGTTCATGCTCTGCCAAGGCTTCTCTGTAACAACAGCCAATAAAAGAAGACAAAAAAGTCAAAGCAACAGTATGAAATATTACAGTATTATTAAGCAAAGTTACAATTAGGAAGTATAGTGTATGTGTTGGAGTTTCTCTTTTGTTTTCTTGTCTGGAAGCACAGTTGTTTAGGAATAGTCTGTAACTTTCTGCCCCGCACACACCTCTCTGTCTTCTGAAACATCAAGGATGGATCACAGACTGCTCCATTTAGTCCAGGCTCCAGTGCTCTGAGCTAGTGATTAAAAAGGCTTTTTCTGGGCGCCTGCCTGATGTGCCCTGTTTGCCTGCTAGGCATCAAGTGGGCTGCCAGGCTGGGGTGAGGAAGGAATTTTCCACCRGACCAAATTGGCATGATTCTGGCTTCCCTTGTGACATGGGACATGAATCATGTGCTGACATGAATCTAGGTGTGCCACAACTGATCAATTCCTTGTAACTTGAGAAATCTCAAGGCAGGGGCAGCATGGAGATCTTTTGTTGCTTGCGAGCAACACTTTTCAGTCTCTTGCACATTAAAATGCTTTAGTTTGACTTGAGTCATCTGAGCCTGTGGTTGGCATGAGCCAGTGGCCTGCAGGATACAGGAGGACGGGTTTGTTCCCTGTCTTTTAAACTTTGTGAGAGCACAGTCATCTTTAYAGTTCATTATTTGGGCAGTTTTCAGCTGCAGGACAGAGGAGTGAGAGTTGGCAATATTTAGTGCCTGCCACCTCTTTCCCTTGAAGAAACACATAGGTAGCAATGATGTTTAAAGGCTGCTAGCAGTTCTTGAATAGTTAAAGCTTGCAGCTCTTGCTTTCCTGCCCTGAGAGAATTAACTTTGTGCTGATTTTTTTTCCATTACTTACTCCTTGCATCACATTTGAAGGCTTTGGCTACCTTGTGGAAGACAGAAGTTTTCCCCAGTGAAGTTTCTGTTAGCCTGCACTTTTGGGAACTTTGCAGCAGATCTAAGGAACGCCTTACTGTCAGTATTCCTGTATTTCTGCCACAGCAGTCTGCAAAGCAGTCAAGACCGTCCTGGGTACAATTTTGCAGGGCATGAAGCTGCTTCAGGTCATTGTTGTCAGTGAAATGAGAGATTCCTTCTCCCTACTCACCTGTTGTGTTTTTGATCCTTCCTTGCATTGATTTGAACAATTTTCTGTAGCCTCAAGATGAGCTGGATCAATTTGGTGCTCTGAACAAAAAATAACCTTCTTGTGCAAAGAGAAATGCTTTTCCATTAGACTGACGTACAAACAGTCTGGATCTGTCTACACAAATACTAGTGGCAGTACAAGGGATAGAGAAGGTTGAGGTCTGTAGCATGGCTTCTGGTCTTAGCAGTTCACAAAAGGACATTCTGAGCTACCTGATGATCAAACCACACAAAATATTTGTTCTTCATATTTACTGCTCTTTTGAGACCCCAAAGGAAATGGTAACTAGTCTATAGTGGCTTAATTTGCAGTCRCAAGGGAGTGCCCTAATGCGCTCTTATACTCTTCCCTTCTGCTCCCGACATGTGCAGATCTGGATTTAAAATTTTCCTACCAATATCTGGAAATGCACTCTTTGCAGTGCTTTGTGATGGCAAGTTTTTCTGTAAACGAATGCAAGTGGCTGTTCGTAAGGGTTTTCCTCTGTCTCTGGAGGGCTCACTGGGCCTTGTGGTTCCATGTTGCTCTCCAGGAAATTGTAGAGCAATCTGGCACTGTCTTCAGTGAATAGGAGGAAAGGTGTGCAACTGAGTGACCTCTCTGCCTATGGGGTAAGGTAGAACAATAATCACAGGACATACTAGGGAGTGATTGAGTCAGAGAGGCCCCCTTTCTTAAGCTATTACTTAAGTTGAGATGCTGCTGTAAGTCTTCCTGGAAGCATCATGAGGGCAGCAGAGCTGCTTTTATAGAATTCTATTGCTGACTTTGTCTGTTTGCTTTCAGGATTTTATCAACTGCTGGGAAATACCTCTCGGACTCCTACAGCCCTTGTAGTTTTTCTGGCTTTCAAGATCCCAGTTCTGCAGAGAAGAGCAGCTCTGTCAAGAACCCCTGGCAGGAATACAATTATCTTTTGAAGGAGAATCCGTCTGAGTACGCCAGCCTTATGGAGACCCTTTACACTCTCAAGGTAGCTTTGCTGTCCAGGAGAAACTGCCTTTCTAGCAGGAAACTGTTGGGCTTAGGTAGATACATTTGGTAGGTGGGGATTGGATTCCACCAACAGCCGGATTATATTTCATCTTGAGCTGTAGTCTTTTGATGGGCTATGCTCCGAGTCTTCCACAGAGACATAAATCTGCTGAGAGAAGGAAATGCCAAAACCCAGGAAGTTTGGGCTCATTTCAGAGAGTCAGAAACCTCCCCACAACCTGGCAAGGTTCTTTGAACACGTCTGTATCAGCTCAAGTGAGAGACAGTCTACCACAGAAAGACATATGGCAGATTATATTGACGCAATCTCGTATTCCAGTCTCGTGTACTAGCTTCTCAAGACTTTCTGTGCCACTTATATTCTGTTGCCATATCCATCCTGAAATCCAATTCTACAAGATCGTTCATGCATGTATCTGTGAACAGGGTCAAATGACTAGTTAACTAATCTTCTGGTGGATCTAATTTATGTTTGTTTGCCTTCCTCAGTCACTTACAATAGTAAAGTCAAGGTTACGTGTTCTGTCTCATTTTCTCAAAGTGTTTTTTAATTTCTTCTCCTCTTAATTTACATGCAACTTGTGTAGCTGTGCTGTCGCTGTTATGAGATTGACTAATTCCTTGGCTAAATAGTAGATTTCTATTATGTGTCTTTCTSCTTAAGTAGAGCTCTTAATTCCGTGCAGGGAATCCCCTAGTTGTGCCCTTTGAGTAAAAGGGCATATTTGTATTTCTTCTCCTATGGTAAATGGAAATACATTATCTGATTTTTCATTTAAAGTTTACTTTCTGGGCTTTTGTTCACCTTCCCTTCTGTGCCCAAAGAAAGAATGGAAATCCAGGCACTACTAGAGAGCTTGTAAGGCAGTGCACTGTGAACTCCTGTCTTCCCCAGGGGCATTCTGGTTGAGTGCAGATTGTAAAGGTAATTTTGCCATCTTCACAGCAAGTTTCTTCGTATCTTGCCTGTACTGGGGCCAGGTGGCAATGATTCTTTTTCCACGTTTCAGGGAGCTGTGTGCAGCTGGTGCTTGAACATCTAGTGGGAACAGGCCTTTCTAAAGGACTCGTGTTGTGTCGGTGCAGAGAAATGCTCTTATGTGTTAGGATGGCCTAATAAGGACCTCTTCAGGAATATTAACAAAGCTCTTCTGTGGTCAGTTTAGTGCCATCTGTATATAATTGTTTTTATGTGTATTTTAGGAGAAAGGTACAAGTAACCACAACCTATTGTCTTCCTCTCGCGCTGCCCTAAGCCGCCTCAACCAGCTCGCACACCACCTGGCTTTCGACTCCGTTTTCCTTCGCATCAAACAACAGCTCTTGCTCGTTCCTAAGATGGAGGTGAGTAATGGTTGCACTGATCTGATCTGAACAGCGATAAGGTTTACCCTTGGCATACCTTAGGGCAGGATACAGCTCAATGCAGCTTGCCTTGCTGCTTTCCAGAATATCACAGTAATTCCCTCTAGTATCACCTTTTTTCCATGAGCTGTGCTCAGTGACAAAGTTTACATCCTTCCCACTACTACATTCACTAGGGTTAGCAGATGTCTGCAAGCCCTAATATGTGTCTGAGATACTGTTTTATTTCAACCTATGTATTTTCCATAAGGAGCGGTGTGGACAGGGGAAGCAAATCTCCAACTAGTCTGTGTTCAGTTTTGCTAGAAGTCTGTGGGTGATCACAGATCTCATCACTAGGTCCCACTTTCCCAGAACATCCACAGATTCCAAGCTCCAGAACTTCATAGACTGCTTTTTGCCTTCCAGGGATGGAACTCTAGTGGCATTGGTGAGACCTTGACAGACGATCTGCCAGACTTCAGCCTGACCCCTCTGGAATATATCAGCAACGTAAGAGCAGGCCAGGATGGTGCCTAGAAGCCCAGTGCTGTGGGAATCTCATCTGTGCTTTGCCAAGTTTCTGTAAAATCACAGTATTTGTGGAATTTGTTGTTTAATGGTGAGAAGTACTGTTAGTGACCCAGTCCTGATCAGTATGATTATGCCATCCTTGTAAGAAATCACTGTCAATTCTTGAATAGCAAAAGAACTTTGGGAACAAAAAGGGTGTTTTATTTTTTTATTGCACTGTTTGCAGTATTAATTCTTGTAACAGGATGGAAAAAGCCAACTTCTGGTTGTAGTGGTAAATACTGAACATATCTTAAGAATGTGGCTCACTGAGCTGCTGTTTGGGAGTGATAAGTTTCTGAAATTCATTATCTTGTCACTTGGATTCATGTTTCCTTTTCTGTGGTTTTGTTTGGATCAGTCTCTTGGATTCTGGTCCAGGAACAATGCAGAGGTCAAAAACGTGATTAGAGTTAMGATACGGGATTTCATTGCTGTGATTGTTTCAGTGACTGCTTTTCTCATCTCCTGAAAAARTGTTTTTGTACAAAGTGTAATGATCAGCAAGAGACATGGTTTGTTTCTGAGCTCCTGTACGTGTGAGCTGCTGTCAAGCTCAGCTTTCTGCCTTCAAGTTTGTATTATTGCACTTGGCTTTTTCTTCATTTGTGCAGTGACTCAGCTCTTTTGTGCTCTTATTCCAGATTGGGCAATACATTATGTCACTGCCTCTCCACCTTGAACCATTTGTCACTCAGGAGGATTCTGCTTTGGAGCTGGCATTGCATGCTGGAAAACTGCCTTTCCCTCCAGAACAAGGTAGGATGAAACCAGGGAAGTAGCATGTCTGGAGGAAGGTTTCACACTTCGGCATTACGTGTGATGGGTCATAGAAAGGAAGCTGTTTGAGATCCATTCCCTTCTGATTGTTCATGATTGTTTCTTCCAGCAATCTTCTGCAGAGGCCATGAGGACCATCTAGACAATGAATAAAACTTTTTTGTTGGGTTTTTTTTTTTTCCAATTTTATTCAGACAACAAGCTCTAGTTCCTCCCCTTTAAGTTAGGGGATTATTAACTCCCCTTTAAGTTAGGTTAGTGATTATTAACCTTCTGGTTTGGGGTGTCAGACCTTAAGTATTACTGTTTCATAGCTGGAGCAGTATTTAATGTACTGGGTGCTGTCTTGGAATACCGTGAGTGTCTGATACCCTGTTTCCTTGTCCAGTGAAGAGTATGGGATCACCTGTACTGTTGTATTTGGGTTGGTCACAGCAAAAGGGCAACAACGCTGTTTGCCTTTGGACATCTTATTCCTTTGCCTCTCATGCCTGCAAATCCAGAAAGGACTGTTGTTACTCCCTGGGTGGCCTGCAATGTGCGCCTGTCAGAGCAGCAGCAGCCCAAGGCAGAACCTGGCCTGTAGACTCTTGCTTTGGGACAGGTTTTGCATCTTTAAAAGAACATCCTTTTCTTAAGGATCCAGTCATGTGTCCTAGTCTCCATCATCAGAGTCCAAGGAAGAGCAGAACTCAAATGATGATTATTTCATTTAAATTTCATATTCATTCTTTATTATCCCCACTTGAAAAACCATTAGAGCTCCACTGCTATTACTAGTGCTGCTCACGACTAGTGAGCAGATACTTGTCACCGTGATTAAAGGCTGTGGATGGAAGAAGTGCGGCTGAGGCTGCTCTTTGAGGCAGACGTGGCCCCGTTGCTCTTCAAAACTTTGTCCCCAGCACATTTCTGTAGACCCCGGGAATTCTTTCCTTGCAGACCCCTTGCAGTCCCCAGCGCCGCGCGGCACTGCCGTTCATCTCCTCGCAGGGCTCACTTGCTCTGGCGGTCGGGCAGCGTGGAGCTTGCTATTTATAGTCTCCCTGAAGCTTTCTGAGAATACACCCTTTGCTTTAGGTTTTGGCATCAGTCATCTGTCATCTTGAAGCATTTACATCTTTAATAAGTCATTAATTTTCAAAACGTTGATGAATCGAGAATGTTTTCAACACTTGGAAAACTCATGAATCACTGTCACTTGAGTAGTTTGTAAAGCAGTCCTGGAACGGGCTGTGTCCCAGAGAACATGCCAGGGAGTGCCCGTGATCCTGGCCCCAGCACCTGTCATCCCTTTAGAAATTAGTTACCTGATGAGTAATAGAGGGAAGTGTTTTGGGTCCTGAGCTATCTTTCAATGTTATATAGTATCAAGGAAGATAAATTACAGCTTTGATCATTCCAAACCAGCTGACAAACTGTCTGAGTGTCAGTACCTTAATGCTTTGTTGAATAAATTGTTAACCATTTATGAATTATGTCCTGTTGCTAACTGGTAAATGCAGGTAAGCGAAACGGCTGGCAGCTAACGTGGGTTCTGTGCGCAGGGGATGAGTTACCCGAGCTGGACAACATGGCCGATTACTGGCTGGGCTCCATCGCCAGAGCCACGATGCAAACCTACTGCGAGGCCATCCTGCAGATACCGGGGCTCAGCGGGCACTCCACCAAGCAGCTCGCCACAGACATCGGTGAGCCTGGCCTGGGAACTGTGCTGGGGCGCTTGGGCTCTTCCTTCATTGYGTTTCATTTTAAGAAATTGCTGTATGGGTTCCTCCTCTAATCTTGTGCGGACGTGTCTGAACCTGCTTAGTGCAGTGGTTCATGGCTGCTCTTTTGCAAAGTGCTCTGTCATGTCCCTCTCCTAGGAAAAAGGTTTTTCTGGTAAGTGCTTCTGCTTCCTCAGAGCTTTGTGTTTCTGAGTGTGCAAGTCAAGGTCCTTCTCAGTGCAGAACCGAGCTGGGCCTGTTTCTGCTCTAATAATGGGTGCCAACTTCACCATGGCCAGCCTGACTTCAGCATGGAGTCAGTCAGCTGGAGCACCCCAGCTGAAGTTCCTGTCTTTGCTGCAAACTCTTAACTTGYCTTTGAAGTGATTGGGGTCCTTAATCTGTGACCTTGGTGACTTATTACCCCGGGGACCTGGGTCCTCGCTGCAGGTGCTGTAACACGGCAGAGTGTCTCGGTCCTCGGAACAAGACAGACAGTTGTTTAAACTAATGGACCAAAGGCAAAAATATTTGCCAGTTGGTGCAGTTAAATTCCAAAGACAAGAGCTGTCTGTGCGCCCCAGCTGGCAGTGAGAGTGGTTCTAGCTGTCCTGAAGGGTGAAGAAAGACCTTCATTTGGGTGTTGCTTGCATAGTGTCTGTTATTATGAAATACACGCTTATCCTTTGTTTTTCAGACTATCTAATAAATGTGATGGATGCCCTCGGCCTCCAGCCATCCAGAACGCTGCAGAACATCGTGGCGCTGCTGAAGGTGAAACCAGAGGAGTTCCGGCAAGTGGCGAAGGGCGTCCCGCGCCGAACGGCCGGCGGCGTTGCTGCCATGCGGGGCCTCGAGTGCTGACTGCGGCCCGGCCTGCTCCCGCTCCCTGCAGACCTTCCGCGGAAGGTGAAGTCCTCTCTGGGCATAAGAGGAGTTTATTTATGAAGAATTTTAAAACTAGGAAAAGCTTGTTCGTTCTTTCTGTCTTTAGAAGTGAGGAAAGGTTTCTTATAACCAAATTGCCTAGAAACTGTCTGAATAACCTTCATTGGGTTGAAYGGTGCTGGCTTCTGGCTAAATTGGCCTGCCGGTAGCTGGGAGAGTTCATGCTTCATGACAGCGGCATGACTGTCCTTTTCAGAACAGTTTAATGAATTTTGAATCTAAAATTATAGGGTAGGTGCAACATAAATCAACTGATTGGAAGCTCCTCCAGCTGGAAGAAATGGCCATTGCTCAAGTCTGTCATTATTCACCATCTCAAGCGCAGAGTCTCATCAAGCAGCAGAAAACACGTGATCAAACCCAACTCTGAGAATAAACCCAGTTTTGTAGGTTGTTTCTTGTGAAATGTGTACTACACCTTACAACTAAGATGAGTCTAATGTATTTTATGAAATAATGTTATTTTCTTATGAAATGTATTAAAGATTGCTATTTAGATCTTTGTAGAAAGCCTCATCTAGCTTAAGAAAGCTTCTAGCACTTCCACAGCTTTCTTTTTTTAAGACAAAATTAGGTAAAATACAAGGAGGTCCCCGAACAGCAGTGCCAGCTGCGTCAAACCTATGTGCAAACTCATCTGCTTTGGAGGGGGGAGAAACCCACTTGCCTTCCCTGTGCATGTTGCTGCTCCTGCAGCTCCGGCATTTGTGGCCTGGACTCCTTTGGTGAGTAACTTGTTCCCTCGTTTCCATCTCTCTGCCTCCTTCCTTGGCCCCTTGCAGGCTGCAGTGCCCAGTGCTCGGCCACGTCCGCACGTTCCTGCTCGCTCTGCCTTGGGCTTGTCCTGTGTTTCGGGGAGGCCTCGCTCCGCAGCTGCCCGTCCCKCCTCGCCGCTCCTGGGCAGCGGCACTTTGCGGTTCCCCTGTGGGACTCCTTTAAAGCACAATTTATTTTATGCACTATTATTTTTTTTTAATTCTTGGTGGTGTTTGCAGCTGGCCATTTTACCCTTCAGGGTATGAGCTGTTTAATTAAGAATCCCCAGGTGAGATGAGCAATYGCGTGCCGTGAGCTGGGGCTTCGCAGGTGCCTTTGGCTCCAGCTCGACGCCGGCCCCACGTGGGAGCAGCCGGCGCGGCCGCTTATCTGTGTGCCCATCTGGGAAAGGGAGCCGACTGGTAAAGAGCGGAGTGCGGGAGCGAGACACTTCCATTTTATTAGCTGCCAGACGCCCTCTATAAACCARCAATAACCAGAAGAGTAAACTGGGGCCTGCCAGAGAACACGCTGTTCCCGTCTCCCCGCTGTCAAAGGGGTAGATCTCATTGCTGCTGCCTCTCCCATCCTTTCCTTCCTCGTAACCGGACAGGCTTTTGAGGCTGTTCCCTGCCTGCTGTTATTGCCGCGCTTGGGGCAAAAGGTTGGAGGTGCTGGAAGCTGCCGCCTCGCTGGGGCCTGCCCGGGCTGAGCCCCGATGCTGCGAGAGCACGTGGGGAATCCAGCATAGCCCCCCAGTGCTGCACCCCAAAGACGCGATTGCCGGGGCGCTTTGGCAAGGGCTGCGCGGCGAGCAGGATTGTGCCCGCGCTTTCCCGCTTGCAGCCGCCTCCTTGCAGGGCGGCCGCTCCATGGGCACCAGGAGGCGGCTCGGGACAAGCCCTGGGCTGCAGGAAAGCCTCTCGGGTCCCTTGGCTCCAGCGGCTGCACCGCGAGCGATGAGCGCGGCGCTGTCTGCTGCTCAGAGCCYGCTTTGCTGTTTTCTGCCTCGTATTTTACTGCATGAACTTAAGCAAATGGCTCGGCTGTGGCTTGGGGCGAGAGCAGTTTTTCACTGTTACAAATCTGAGGTCTTTGTGGAGGTAAAATCTTAGCTTGGTTGCGTGTTTTGAGTGCAGATTTGGTAGAGGGGAGACTCGGCTGCTTGTTTCTCATTGAGCTGTTGCGCGGGTGAAAAACTGTCTCTTTAGAGGAGCTGGCCTGGTCGGAGGGAGATTTGGATCCCTCGCTGGGGTTTTATCCTGCTCAGAGGCGATGCATCAGGGAGAAGGAAGTGAGGATTCGAGCAGGAAAAGTCCGGGGCAGTTCCTGTGGGAACTGGATTTCACCGTCCCCAGCAGGTTCCCCACCCGCCCGCTGTCGCCCTAGCACCACGGCAGCTGCTTTTCCTTGCTTAGCTCATGCTGTACCAGGAGGGGACTATTTCTGCACTGCACCCACTTGCACGCAGTGCTGGTTGCCCAGGGCAGCTGTTTGCAAGCCTTGGGTGGCAAATGAGAACCTGGGAGTAGCCCAAGGACTTTCTGCAAAGGTGCTTCCTAAATTTGGCTCTTTATTACTCATATCTTTTATTTACTCTAGATGTTCTCTGGCTGCAAATGACTGTAAATTACCTCTATTTTTGCTTTCCTCACCCCAATCAAAATCAAGGACAAATATATTTTATCAACAAGTTTAACAGCTCAACTTGGAAGGTCAGCGGTGAGGGATGAGGGTACTTACTGTGCAAATTGATAAGCAATTTAGTACCTGAGGATTAAAGTGTCATCTCCTCCTTTGCCGAGGCTGATGGAGCAGGGTGCTCTTCACATCACTGAGGAATCACAGGCGCTTTCTGAGGCAGTTTCTCCTGCAAGAAGCATTCTGGTTGCTATAATGTTCCTCCTATCATAATTATAACCTTCCTGTGGAGTAAGTTAAATAAACCCAAACAGGGGGTTGCTACATTTATTTTTTGCTCTGTGACAATTGCATCGGCACAATGAATCTAATGAAATTTGATCTACCCAAAACAAATGTAAAATTCCTAAAGGTCAGCTATGATTTTGTCTTTAATATAGATATTCCTACAGCTTTTAGGGTCCCACATAAGCCCTTTGCTCCCAGGGATGTTATTTTGTATGTTTTCTAAGGTGAAAGGCCCCAGAGCGCGGAAGGGATCGCACGGAGCGATGGGCAGGTGCAGCCGCCCTTCCTTCAACCCGGAATCCCCAGGGCCAGGGGCTGTGGGAGAGACACTCATGTCACCGACCGACCCCGTCATTTCAGTGCTTAGGGACTTGACAAGCCAAGCAATTAGTAGAGATAACTCTGTTGCTCTGTGTTGGAACCGTGTTTGTTGCTACACACAAGAAGGAAACACCAGCAGAAAGAAAGGGGCCAGGACTAACTGGTTCTCACGCCAGCACACGGGCTAATTTGGACATTCTTGCTTCAAAAAAGAAGTCGCCACAAAAGTCTCCAGGAATTCAGCAACCTCCGGGCTGGAGCCTCATTCCTGTGGAGGCAATGGAGCCCTCTGCTCTGGCGGCTGCTGCGTTTATAACCGATTAGCATCTTCATTACGTGGTTCTGCATCCAACCTGCTGCGTCCCCGGCTCGGCCGCGTCCGAGGGCTCTGCGGCTGCCGGCAGGAGCCGATCGTGGGCCCGGAGGGCGCGTGCCTGGCGCGGGAGCTGCCACGGGCAGCACTTTGTTCATGGCTTAGTCTGTGTAGGGTGAGGTGCTCAATGATGAACGTTTACAACCGAACGCGAGCAGCCTGGCACCCACGAGGGGAGTCTGTGGCTCTTTGRTGGGCACTGATGCTACCACAGCAGGCGCCATCTCGTCCACTACATAGTCCTGTGCGATGGCACCAGAAAGCCCTGGGAAAGCCATGGCAGCAAGCCCTGGGCCAGGGCCGGCCGCTGCCCGCCCGCTCTGAGCCCCGTTCCCGGGCGCTCCTGCTGATACCCAGGCACATGGGTGGTGCGGGTGCTGCCGGGCCGCTCGAGGTGCGGGAGGCCGCCCGGGCCCTCCTGCGGGCCGGCGCCGCCGCCTGCCCCGGGCCACGGCGCCGGGCTGGGCTGTGTGCCCAGAACAGCGCGTTCCCAGCCCGTCACTCGCCTGCTCTATCGCGCTTCCTCTTGCGTTTCGCAAAGCTGCTGCGGTAGAGCAGAGCTCCAGCGTGGCCGTGAGGGGCACAGGGCCCCCCGGGAAAGCCGGGCTCCAAAACAAACCAAACGCCACGCGAGTTAATTATGCTGGTGTTAATTGTGCGGCTCCAAGCCCTGCTGGGAGCCTCCTCGGGGCAGGAGAACCCGAGGCTGCGAGGGGTGAGCACGGCCCGGCCTGGTCTGCGGAGCCCGCGCTCGGCCTCGCGCCGAGCTGCCGCCGCAGCGCTCGGCCCGGCCGCCGCTCCAAGGCCCCGGGTTGTCCCTCTGGCCGACAGCGGCGCTGCCGAGGCACCGGCACTTGCTCCCCGCGCCTCGCTCTCTGCCGGAGGCTGCAGTGTTCTCTCTGACACGCACTAACAGACAGGCCCCTCTGCCGCAGGAGCGTTAGCAGAGCCCAGGCACGGGTGGCAAGCGGAGAGCACGGGGCTCCGGGGAGCGGAGGAGATGGTTTATTTATGTATTTATCTATTTTCCTCCTGTTTATGTTGTGGTCATTCAGAAATGTACGCACAGGAATGAGGAGCAGTCCGGCACCCCGTGGTTCTCGCTGACCCCGGGAAGCAGCCCGAGTGCAGCAGAGCGCGGGTGTTCTCGGTGTCGGACAGGCGCTGCCTCGCGCCCTGGGGGCTCCCTGCTCCCGCCGCACGCCCATCCCGCTCTCCCTGCTCCGGGACGGGCCTCCCGCCGCCCCTGCCACGCGCTGCTCCTGGCCCCCGGCCGCACACCCGCAAGCAGGACGCTTTCCGAGCCGCTCTCTGCCCTGCATTTCTCCCGGGAAGTGCTTTCCTCCCACAAGTAAGCAAAGCTACTTGTTAACAGGAATTAGTGATTTATGGTTATATAGCGGTATTGATTTACACAAGCTCTGTATAGCGAAGCCCCAGCCTGCTGCTGACTCCGTGAGATTTATTACAGGGTTTATTAGACAGAGCTTCTCGACGGTGAGCGTTTTACGCAGGGGTGGGGACGCGGAGCGCGCTCCGGCTCCTTCCTGCTCCGATGAGGAGCAGGACGTCGCTGGTGGAGCGGCAGGTGGAGCAGGGCGAGAGCGGCGCCGCAGGCCGCTGCTCACTCGGGGTCGGCGTCGCTGTCGCTGTCCGGGGCGAGGGCGGCCGGGGGCTGCACGCGCAGCGAGTCGTAGTTGGGCGGGGGGGTGCCCGGCTCCGGGGGCAGCGCGTCCTGGCGCCGCGCCGCCCCGCCGGGCTCCTCGTGCTGGAAGGCCAGGTTCGCGTGGGCTTCCACCAGCTCCGACACCGTGGGAGGCGCGTCCGGGTACCGCGCACGCGCGCGCCTCTGCTTCAGGCCCTTGCACCAGCTGATGACGTTAATGACCGTGATCCACAGCGAGTCGATGATGATCTCTCCAAACTCTATGAGGCAGAGCACGGAGCCCCCCATCCAGAACCCGAATTGGCCTCCCAGGCTCGACAGCAGCCACACGATCTGCAGGCAGGAGAGGACAGGGAGGTAATGCGCTGTAGATGAGCAGCTCACCTCCAA